TTTTTTTTTTTCTCGATTGATAGAGACAAGCCAACTTCTATCGTGGAACTTGTTTGTCACCCAGGCATATGTGGTTGTTACCATATGATATTCGTTTCTCTGTGTGTTTATTAAACGTGCTTATTACATATTTGTACGTGCATAAGAGAGAAGAGTGTGCGTTAGTTGAATAGATTACGTACAGATTTTCTAACCCTTTTAATTTACTTTTTCATTTTGTTTTTTTTTTTTCATTGACAATCGTTCGAAGAATTTTTCACATTATTTGTTTTTTACCTAGCACACACGAAAAAATAGAACAACTATATCTATCTTTCTTTTCCTTTTCTCTTTTTCTTAATTTTTTTCTTCTTCTTCTTCTTCTTCTTCTTTTTCTTTAATACTCGTACAAGTTTCCTTATGTCTGTATTACGAGACTATAAATAAACTGGGAGATTAAAGTTTTAAACGAGATTTTCAGGTCGACTTTTACGAAAGAAAGAAATTACCTACGGTTCCTTAAAACCATCCATTTCTTTTTTCTTTTCCTTTTTTTTCTTTTTTTTTTTCCTTCCAAAATTAAAATCCCTGAACAAAAGTTTTAAAGAACAAAATTGTTCGCGAGAAAAGAGAGTATCAGGATTTAAAAAAAAGAAAAAAAAAGAAAAAAAGAGAAAAAAAAAAGAAGCACCGAGATCAATTTAAACAATGAATCGTTAATTTTAATTGTACAAAATCGACAGAAATGTCAATCGAATCACCGATACCAAAGACCGAAATCGACTTGTTCGAATAGTTTTGAAATACTACATGGGAAAGACAGAAATAAGAAAGAAAATCTTTTACGAAGGATATGAATTATTTATGTTTTCCTAATCCAAATTTATTTCTTTTCTTTTCTTTTAAATTTATAACTGTAATATAATAGAGATTTGTATAAAAATATATCTTGTCAGAACTTAAACATTCACCGATAAATCAATTGAAATAATTAATGGCGTATTTTAATTGTACGAGATCGACAGAAATCGAATCACCGAATACAAAGACCAAAATTGAATTGTTCGAAAGCTTTTGAAATACTCGATTAAAGAGACAGATAGATACGGAGTTAAAAGAGAGAGAAAGAGAGAGAAGGAAAAGGTAGTTGGTAATTTGTTACCGTTATCGGCTCGTTAACATTTACCACTTTTCTGTTACTACGTTTTAATGGAATTCGAATCAAGTTGACTAACTGCACTAACTGGATCAACTGAGAATAGTACGTACAGAGAATACGATAGAGAACGTCATTCTACACATTACACACGTACATTCATACATACATGTAGATACACGCATACATATATATACATACATCTATATAAACGTAAACATACATACATAAATATACATAAATGTGCATACATATATAAGTGTACGTATATGTACGTATAAAACACAGGAGTTAGCTTGAAAAGCAACATAAAATATTCGGATTTGTTCGTTTCTAAAAGTCGAACAACACGCCTAACGTTATCTATTACTATGTCGGCCATTACATTGCTTAGTTTTCAAAGAAAGCGCGTAAAATTGAACCGAAGTTTCAAATTAGCTTTTCGCGTTTAGTTACGAACTATATACGCAATCGCGCGTTATACACACACACACACACACAAATTATTTTTATTTTTATCTATGTATACTCCCAAATAAAACTACGACTGTGTAAAAACTATCGTGATTTATGTATGTATCTTTCCTTTTACTGACGTCACGTTTTCTTTTTGAGTAATCAACCGTGATAATGTTCTTTTTTTTATTTTTTTATTGCTTAATTTTATACGCTCAGAATGAAAACCACTGCTTTGCTTCGAAACACTTCTCTCTCTCTCTCTTTTTATTTTTTTCTTTCTCTGTTTTTTTTTTTACGTTCGTGGTTATCACAAGTCTCTTAAACTCTGTGTTTGCCTTTTATCAATTCTAGCTACGATAATTTCTTTCCCAAATTGCAAGACTGTAAAAGAACAAGATTATCGTGTTCGTGTGTGTTGTATGTGACGGTGTGTGCCATGTTTTATTAGTTCAATCTATCGCCTTGAAACTATAATTATCGATTAAGGAGAAAAACGATGATTTAATATTTTTAAAAATACTTCGATTCCAATTTTCAATCAACGCAAACACACATAATACTATACACAGAGAGGTAGATACATATACGTAAAAAAAGCGTTTAATTATTTTTAATTAATTTTGAATAATCGTCGATCGTATACAAAAAAAATTACGACGACGACAATAACTTCGAATATAAATATACATAAATTTGTATTTCTCGTTATCGAAACGTTCAGCGACATTTTCTTTCTATTCTATTTAAACAATCATTTTGATTTCATTGTTCTTCCACACAATTTTATATAATTCAAACACGAAACACGTTTCGCTAAGAAATTCTCTATTCGTAATGGTAATCATTCGAACGATGAAGAAAAAAGAAGAAAAAATATGACCCATCAAGAGCCATTTCTAAGGTCCGTTCGTCTAGCGTTAGAAAATTTTTCTAACGACGCCACGTCACTGGCTCGTTTCCAAACGAGCAGCAGCTCCAAGCCTCGTCTATTTTCGTTGATTCCGATCTTCGTGAAAAGCTAGCTCGGTGTAATATAATGGCCGTTGCTAGAAGGGAACTTCTCTTTCTCCTTTTTACCTTTTTTTTTTGCCTATCTTCATTTGAGAAAATGTGTATGCATAAAAACGTTTTGATTGTCTCATGCATGGGAGACACGAACGGAAAGAAAAAGAGAAAGAGAAAGAGAGAGAGAGAGAGAGAGACACGTATCTTAATAAATTTAAATTCGTATTCGAATGGAACGTTGCATCCTTCGTTTAATTAGATCGTTCGATTAGATTGATTCTATTAGTATAATACGTAAAAGAGAAAGAGATAGAGATAGATAGAGAGAGAGAGAGAGAGAGAGAATACAAGTTTCACATATGCGTACACACGTTCACAGATTTTAGTATTTGGAAGTTAACACCAATGAATAATTTTACAATGTATGAATCAGAGAAAAAGAGAGAAAGAGAGACATGGATAAAATACGAGCTTCACATATGTACAAACATATTCACAGATTTTAGTATTTGAAGGCTAACACCAATGAATAATTTTTCAATGTATGAATCAAAGAGAGACAGGGGATGATATACAAGCTTTTTCATATTATATGCACAAACACACATATTCACAGATTTCACATTTGTGAGTTAACACAGTATAAATGATCAATTTAGCAATGTATAAATTAGAAAGATAATACAAGTTTTACGTATATAAACTCTTACATTCGTTCATTCATACATATATACATATATACTTACATATCTACATATATACGTACACGTGTTTTTGTGTACATAAAGAGAATGATAGAGATATCTATGAAATTTTGGGATGAGTAAAACCAATGAACGATTCTAGTGGCAGGAGAGTGACATGGTGGTTAGTACGTTAATTGCACGTATCCTACAGGAAAATTGCTTTCCATTTGCGCGGATTCAATCGGTAACAGGATTCCAGGGGAAAATATCATACGTGTGGCGTGAATCGTTGACGCGTGTGTTACCGCGATCTCTCGCGGGTGAGACGTATCTTTGATCTTCCATTAAATGCATCGCGTTTCCTAAACCCCCACCCACCCCACCCTCCGACCCCGTTGTATCCCTGTCACCCTTCCCCATTTTCACACATATCTCTCTCTCTCTCTCTCTCTCTCTCTTTCTCTCTTGTTTTTGGTATATCCATCTATATATCATTCTATCTCTGTCAAAATGTTCCCCATGTGTTAAAATTATAATGAGACTTTCGAAAAGCTTGCCACTCTCTTACGGTCTATCACGAAATTTCAAACAAGATGAAAGAATTTTCACGAGATGGGGAAACACTCTCTCTCTCTCTCTCTCTCTCTCTCTCTCTCTCTTTGTTTTTTTCTTCTCTTCTCTTCTTTTTTATTTCCTACAACCCCATTCGATCCTTCAACCAAACCCTTTTTTTAATATTACGTTCACAAACTCGTCGCAGCGTGTGATGATTGTACGTAACAATGTGTAATTGTTGTTTTAATCGTTAAAAATCTATTAATATGAGAATAAGAAACAACGCGACAAGTCAGTATAGTTAAATTAGACTGGAATTTCATTGACAGTTGTATTTCTTTTGTTTCATTCATTAATTTATTAGGAAATAGCGTGATTATGTTATAATCATCGAGATTGAAATCAGTTTCTTTTTTTTTTTTTTTCTTTTTTAATTAATTTCATTCATTTAATTTATATGAATGACATGTAACCATATC